CCGAACCACTCGCAACTGTGTCATGCAGCGGCAGAATATTGGTGAAACGCCCGTGGCTGGGTTTTTATCTAGTACCTGTGCGGCTTGTATAGTAAAATTTCACCTAAAGCCCTAGCCTAACAGTAAATGATCGTAAACGCGCGGTATCCTCAAACGCCCATTTAATTTGGATGGGCGTTTTCTGGTTTCGCCAACGTAGATGCGGGTAGAACGAGATAGATGTGTTCCGGGCTTATCACGTATTAATCCAATCATTCATAACCCTGACCACCACTTGGGACTAGAAACGAACATACGCAAGCACGTGGCGAAGATGGCCCATAGGCGCGATCTATCTGCTGGGTCAAAGCCACTTAATCGGACCGAATTCCGTTAGTGTGTCGCCATCTAGCTGTCTGTCTGTCCATGCGCATGCGGTGTGGAGTCGCGACCTAAGGCGAAATGAAGACTTGACCAATCACGGAGCAGCAGGCCAGGCCGGCCTCGAGAGACGGGTGAAATTAGACAGCCAATCAGCGCGTAAGGCGGCACTGAGCACGTGCGGTGCCTTAGCACACGCGTGCGCCCCAATCGATGGCGCGTCGAACATTCGAGATTCTTCTGCAAGGGAGTTCTTACGCACTCAATGGCTAATCAGTGACCGGCACGCCATGGACCAGAATGTTTTAGAACGCTCTCCACGATTGGTACGCCGTAGGCCTCAGAACGCTCAGAGCGCCAAAAAATAAGGCGTTTTTGACGAGTCAGAAACTGTGTTTTCGAAGTCTGTTAAAATAAAGTGGGTTGTCCCCAGGAAACGCTTTCCTTCCCTTTCCGTCTACCCGTCGGGCTGTAACTCATCCAGATGGTGGTCATGACTATGACGGCCTGAAAAAAGGCAAAACAGGTCCGCGACAGGTCTGTATCAGTCTGCCCGCATCTCAGTTCCACCGCGCCCCCGTTGCCATCATAGCTTGGCCAAGTTCGGCCTTGCAGCTGGCTGCCTTGTCGTGGCCTCTGACACGCATTTGGAACTTGTTTGCTTCAGTAGCCCAATGCTCATGCATGTGCGTACAGAAGGGCCTACAATGCAAGTGCTGCTGGTCTGTCAGTAGCACGTAAGCAGATGCTTCAGACCATAATTCCCTAGGCAAGGCTGAATACGTTTCATCCATTTGCATTAGACATGCTTATAATTTGCCTACAATGGTTAAGCTGAGGTCGGGGGTTGGATTAGGGTCAGCATTAAACACTTGCAAGGATGTATGGCGTTAAGCCAGTCCAACCCTTTCTACTCTTGGTGGAAGTCTGTCGACATTGGCGCTGTAATCGTTGCATTCTTGTTCGTCGAAAACAACGACTGCCACCGCACGTCCCAACTGAAATGAGAAATTTTAAGCAACTTGAATTATAGCGAGGCAAGCATTCATGATATCGGTATTGCCATCTCCTCCAGTCTTCACTATACTCTCTCACGACAAGAAGAAGCCAATATGGCCAATAATGGGCCTAGGCCAAATAGTTGTTCATCCATCGCTTTACCTTGGTGTCACGCTTGGCAGGCGGGCATTGTTTCACCATCCTAAGTGTCTGAAACTTCGAATAGTCTTTGACATAGAGGTAAGTTAAAAAGGAAGCCAGCAGCCGAACCCACCCGGTCCCGTCAACGAAGTTAACCAATCAGAGCCAGACTTTCGAGCCATGACTCCCAGCACGTTAACTTGAGCAGGATCTGTCCTCTCCGTCTCCCCAGTGTACCAGTAAAAAATTTACCTTAGGCTAGTGTGGGATTAATAGATCAATCGTTGCGGTTGACGTGTTTTCTGTTCGACGGCGTCCACCATGTGTCCCACGAAGCGGTGGGCGCAGGAGCGTGACTTAGGAGTGAATTAGTTTATTACCCCAACAAATGCCACACTCTCACTCCTCGCTCACTCACTCCGGTCCGGTGTCAAACAAGAATCCAGAAGACCGGAGGCCAGATCAGACGCAGGTAGCTGACAAAGTTAAACCGCTTGTTTACGCGAGCTACACAACACGACCCGGTCCTGCTCAACGGAAGAGGTTTGCATAGAAACAAAAGAGTTTCCGGCTCGCATTTCACCTTAGTGGGAGTGCCCCACAGGCTACATTCACATAAAGCCATTTCAGCTTGACTCTCTGTCCTGAGAGGGACGAGTTAGTCCATCGTTTGGCGGCGCTCCAAGCCACCACTTTTAGCTCGTCGTGGTTGTTTCAAAGTTCGGCAGATTGTTTAGAGAGGGGAATGTGTTGATGTGCCGTGGGGACGGAGTCCGCAGAGTCGAATTCCCTCTCCCTTTCCTTCCCCAGGCATCAGTCCACTGTCCAAACCTGGCTGACCGGTGCGGTGAGAGACTGCGCCTAGGCGTGTCAGCACATCCCTTATGGAATGTGCACACTCGGCGCGGTCCGGTTAAGGCATATGCTGTCCTTATTTGAGCCTCGTTTTGGCCCATTGTAGGGGCGCGTTATAACGCCTCCGTCTCATATGTGCCGCCCACCCGTTTAATAGCCCGTTTACGCCTGGCGCCACAGCGTCAAATATGCCAGATGTCCTAAGCGAAAGTCAACGAGGCGCTCATCACCCGGTGAAATACGATTCCTGCTCTTATAGAGCAGCACTGTATGTATGATTACTTTTCTTTTATGATTTTCTATTGAATGAATATTTTTTAGTAGACACTCGAGTTCCCTACCTAAATAAAACCAGTAGCGATGTCGTTTCCAGTCAGTCTATTCGGAATCTGCCCTAAAGAAAGATATAACCAGATACAGAACAACATGCTAACGCTTTCCACTCACCAACTGACATCATTTGCCAGTTCTAAATGATTTGCTTCTCAATTACAACATTAATTAGTGGAAGGGGCCGAATCGCCAGGTGGGCAGTCTCGATCTGATGTGCCGGCAACTAAGACAAATACTCCTCAGAATGATTAGGGTCCAGTGACAGCACGCATAACAACGATATTTTTGACCTCGGTGGTCGCCTTCACAAGCGAGAACTCCCAAATCATCCTTAATTGAAGTCTTATGAGTCCGTCGGTCGCCACATGGGCCAAAAAGGGATGATTTCATCACGGCTTTTGGCTAAGAAACACAAGGGTTTTGTTTTTGAGTACTAACTTTATTTTTGAAATCAGCCTCTCCTAGGAAACATCTTTTGCACAACAAAATGGACATTTACAGTGAATCATTGGGCCTGTTAAGTACTCGAGCCCTGCACACGCGCAGAGTGATAGAAAACTCAAAGTGACGACCAATAGAAACCGCCCATCCTTTTTTTCAAGGTCAGCCTAAAAAGCACCGCTCCTGTCAGACCGGCTCGCCGATCAGTGAATGCAACAAAGTCATTTTAGCGCGATTTGGCCGACCTCTGCAGGGTCCAGGGATCTTCCTCGATGCGTTCTGCCCTCCGCCGCAGAATCCGCTTCCGTCGAAGGTAATAACCGAGCTCAATAAGTGAGACTGCTAGAGCCAGAAGCATGCCACCGACCAGGATGTAGAAAACGCCTGCCACATTAATGAGTGCAAGGGCGTTGGAGGCAGAACGCTGGTCCTCCTCGTTGCATTGACCCCTCTCAATCCACCATTTCTTGCGCAGACTGGCCAGCACCTGACTCTCACGCAGTCTCAACACTGCGTCGCTCAGGGCCTCCTTCATGGGGGACATGCGGGGCATCGCGATGCCGTAGCCATAGTTACCAAACGGACTGCCGACCATCATAGTGTCACAAGGCTCCCGATTGTTGTAGTACTCGTTCATCAGGGACTCCAGGACGAAGGCGTACTTGCCCTTCGACTTGCGCACTCGCTCCACACCCTGCTGCACGGAGTCCGACAGGGCGCTGGGATTGCGCTTCATGAACTCGCCCATCTGTCTAAAGGGCTCCAGATGGGTGTTGAAGAAGAAGTCCTTTGTGGAGCCGGAGTTCACGGAGCCGTAGTGCATGTCACTCTTCAGCAGATCCATCCAGCCGTTAATGGGTGGTACGCGCAGAAATATGGTCAGAAAGGCTGCCAGATTGGCCGTGTAGTAGGCAATGATTATGAGCGTGAAGAACCACCAGGCGGCCATCAGTATTCGCGTTCCCGGGGAGCGGGGCGCGAAGTCCACGCCCTGTGGGGAAGGAAAAAGAAAGTTTTGAGGCTCAAACATACTGAACAATCACATGATGTATTTGTCCTTCGGTAAAAACGCCCTCCAAAAACTAGGTGATGTATGAGAAAAGTAGAGACTGGACCGATAATGCAGTGCTGCCAACTCTTGCAAACTGCCCACGACTATTCAAATATGATGCTTCACATAAAGGAACATCCCTACAGTTCATCATCGTAGGCTGTAGGACCCCACTTAGCTGACAACCCTGTAGCGGGCAGCCAGCATAACCGATCTGGCGTCATTGTTCAAGACCTCGTGCCTCAAGTGCCCCCTTGCAGTGAGCCGTTCCAGACGCGCTGACCGACTTCAGCTCGAACACAATTGCGTCCTCAGAGTCGCGGCTACCCATGCGCCATTTGAACGCGCCACTCCCTGCAATCAGCAAAACAAGCCACTGGAACACCACCCCTCGGCATATGCAACACACACTGACTGGACACCACTTGAGCTTGGCCCACGAGCCTACAAAAGCGGCTGCCACCACTATCTCAGGGACTTTCAGGCCTGACTGGACGCAGTCAACACTAGCCCTGGCTTCACCAGTGGCCACTGTCGCCTGAGAGGACAATTCCGGTTTCTGTGCACAATAAACCCCTCATTCTAGTGCCTACTGTCTTCTCCTTCTAATCTGGGATGTGACTTGATAATTGTAGCTCACGGACTACACACATTCTCACAGCTGCGCAGCTAGAACTCCAACATGTACACTAAAGTTCAGTGTGCCTGTAAACATAGCTCATTAGTCACCCTTCCCATTGGTTGAAGTTTCCTTGCCTTCCTGACTAAATGTAAACTTACCAGCGACGATTTATTCGAAGCCCGTTATTTTTCGAAAATTGTTCTTTGGTTATTTTTTAATTATCGTGTTCACTTTCTCAGCCAAATAACGGCGTTCGACAAGACTTTCGGCAGAATTTTATCTGTTTTCTGTGTCTTCTTCCTCTCCGTCCCGCGTGTTGCTCCACCCGAAAACCCCCTCTATCACCGTTCGACGTGTGACACGGTCCGCGGGTTAGCTCAAGTTAGTTGGGGGTCCTACACCCTACAAGAGTACGAATAGCTCCAGAGATCATTGTCTTCACCGAAGCAGACAAGGCGGTTGTTACAGAGAATAGTTACTGATGAACATTCTTGGCTTCAATGGTAGGGGGCGCTCACCGATCGTTCTTACGGAACTCACTCGTTCCGTTGTGCCTTACGGGATCTCTCTCTCTCTCGAGCCCAACCAGCGACCGCACAGCGGTGCATGATATAGGCAGAAAGGTATTACCTACAAAGACAAGGGAGCCTGGAATAGCCATTTCTGGATTATTAACCGTCGTCAGCCAGTCATACCCAACCACGAAGTGTGGAACACCTGGGGCTTGATTCTGCGACCTTTTAGTTAGGAGTCCACCGCCTCTAACCACTGAGCCATGGGCCCGTTGACCTGTCAGTTTCGATCTTGAATGTACGATGGTAGAGGGGCGCTCACCGATCGTGCTTACGGAACTCATTCGTTGCGTTGTGCCTTACGGGCTCTCTCTCTCGAGCCCAACCAGCAGCCGCACAGCGGCGCATGATATAGGCAGAATGCGGATTTTCCACACTTTGGGGTTGGGTATGACTGGCTGACGACGGCTAATAAGCCAGAAATGGCCATTCCAGTCTCCCTTGTCTTTGTCGGTAATACCACACTGCCTATATTCTTGGCTCCATCCAAAGAGACCACGGAAAAATAGCTAAAAACTGGATTGGAACCTGGGCGTAATCGAAACAGCCAATAAGCACTAGGGCAGGACAGCGATTCGGTAGCTCACATTTCCCGTTATGGGTCAACAGATGTAATCTTGTCGTTTGCACAAAGTTGTCACTTGTAAAACATCTGTCCTCACATTATTGCACAAACGGTTGTAACACTAGGAAATTGTGTCTTGACCACACAAGACTGTGGCATAGCCTGTCTAATAAAAGAAGGCTACGAGTTCGACTCCGCCAACACGCGGATATTGGCGCGGATCGGCAACAAGATGGGGCGGGAACTGTTGGAGGCGTGGGCATCGGACAATAACTCCATCAATAGACACATTGATTTGTCTGCGTTTTATCACGCACTGCGCCCACGCAGCCAGGTGGCGCAGCTCACATCGCCGCGAAGTACAAACGCCGTCGGCACGCCAGGCGACCATTGTGGGTCAGGCAGCACGAAACAGACCTAGCCACGGACATAGTCCCCTCCCCCCCCTAACGGCACGACCTTGTAAATGTTCACACTTTGCTGCACTCTAGCAGTCTCTGATGCTGAACTCCTGTTTGAGTTCGAAAGCTAAGACCAATAAATCTACCGTCCCAGTGATCGTGCTTTCGTCTTCTTTTAAACAAGAACCTGGGATGCACACATTCTCTTCCATTCGTAATAAAAGAAGTCTTAACAAAATGGTAGAGGAGACGCTGAGGAAATCAAAATACCGAAGCAGATATTAAAACGCACAACCGAAGGTGCTGGTAAAGATAGTTGTTATATTATTTTTCAGATTTGTTCCCATAATATGTACAAATGTACAGCAGAGAATCAATGGCCGTACGGTCTCATAATTTTTTGTCGAAAAGAAACGGGATTATGAACCCTCCCCCATATTTCAGGGGTCTTGCGCTAATTCACAGGGAAATTAGGAAGCGTTGGGGTTAGGGTTAAGTTCAGAGTTAAGATTAGGGTTGGAGTTAGGACTCGGGGGTATTCACCCTATCTGATATTTTGCGGATGGCCAATTGTATTACCGGAGGGAAGGCGTCTCGCCGTCAGTCTAGCTAAAAAAACCGGTTAACTGCTAAGCTGCACTGTATTTTTAGCATGGCCATAACAATGGTTATTAATGGCCGATCTAAAAATATTTTTAATGCTTTTCGCACATAATAAACTATGAGATTAAAACACTAAATTTGGCTTTAAGTGAACCTTCACCCTAAATCCAAATCATAGTCGCAGCTTGATAGCCCTGATCTCAAGAACAGCCCAACTAACGCCAATTCTGACCTTTGGCAAAACCCTAGCCTAGAGCCCAAGACCGGCAAATTCAATGTCAGGAACGCTGTAAGAGGTCAAAATCCGCTTCCGCATAACATTTTTCGCGATCTACGGCCGCGCAAATCGTTATGAAGTACACCAAACTAAGCAGGATAGGTAGAGAGGCTTTTGACCAATCATCCAGGGGGGTTACATACTCTACCCTTATCTGAATTTTTGTAAAGGAGATAGTGAGCAATAGTCAGCTCCGGCTGCCCAAGCATCCATGCTTCGTGCAAATATAGGCAGCAGCGATTTTGTGCTGGCAACTGTAGAAACACCAAACTCAAACAACAGAACATAATGCGCTCTGAGCCAAATTGGGCCCTCCGACATTTTCGAACTCACGTCATAAGCTTTATCAGAGGTTCCATTTCGTCCCTCGAACACGCTCCCTGGTTGTTTGCTATTTCTACAGTTAGTATCACGAAATAATTGCTACTTTTTACAATTACGTACCATAACAAATTTGAACATTTAAAATCTCCATATTTAAATTGCATTGCGAGGAGTCTCCACGTTCATTGATTATTCTCCCGCCTCGATTAGTATATTAGGTCCGTATACTTCAAGTTCGCACGGAAAGGATGGCAAAGACAGTTCCGCCCTTTTTGTTTCAAGAGCATAAACAACTACAATAGCTTGCCCCGAGAATTGTGGACTTCTGAGTTTTTTTCGAATCTCAGCCTTCTGATAGGACATCGAATAGGTGGAGGTTGCCTCGGGGAGGGAGAGGGGATTGCGGCTAGAACACGGAAATAAGCGTTCCTAAGAATTTGGCACAACACCGCCTGTAGTATGGGGGGAGGGGCGGGGGATCACCTATTCCCTTGTACAATTCTGATTTCTCTCTCTCGCAAGAGTCGCTCATGGAAACTTTCTGAGGCAGGTGCGAAACGCCTACAGTGCGTGTCCGATCTCATGAAATGTTGGCCAAAATTCTGGAATGCGTTTCAGATTAGAAAGGATTACTTAAGTGGAATTGTTATGCTGATTATCATGCAGCATAACCCTATAACATTTCGGACTCGCCAGGATGTCCACTTTTGAATGCACGACATTTTGACCTCCTACAGAAACCACGCTCGGTAAAAAATGATTACCTTAGTGGCACTCATTTTTCCTATTGATTCTCGATGCATAAGTAGTCATTTTTTACCGAGTGCGGTTTCTGCAGGGGGTCAAAAAGATGTGCATTCAAAAGT